CTATGTTACTAAAATATTTTTAAAATTGTTGTAATTAAAATACAATAAACAGAAATAATATATAATTGATATGTGTACAAACACTGTTTTTAATGATATTTTCTCAAAACAAGATTATTCTTCAAGATCCAACAAGTTCTTCCTCTAAAAATAAAAGTTACATAGAAATAACAATAGAAAAAAAATACCAGTAAGCTTTGCAAAAATAAAAAAATAAAAAATAGTTTATTTCTAGCTTTTTTTTTAATCGTAAAAGTACATGGTATATATAGGCTGTTTACATGTAACAATTAGAAAAAAATACAGTAAAAAATTAACAAATTATTATAATAATTAAAGAAATAAAAGTGCTATTACAGAATTAAAAAATTGTAGTTGTTAAAAATATTTTAAAAGAAAAGAGTGTAATCATTAAAAAAAAATTTAAATAAAAAAATATAATACTTTACCATATCTCCAGTACTTTTCATTTAAAATATTATTTTGACACGAGACAACATAATCTTGAATTTGTGCTTTGGAAAAAATTAAAGAAACACGAAGTCACGCTAGTTTTATTTCTATTTTTATAATTATACGAGAATATTCCACATCAGTTAACTTCATGTGAACTTTCTATATGAATAATGCTTTCAACAGAAGCGATTTTTCCTCGGAAGAACAACTTGTATAGATTCCAAACTTCAAAGGATATTGAAGAATATTCAACGTATTTATGGAGCTGTTCTGCCAAACACCGTGTCCTTGCTTGTACGATGCATGCTTGTCTGTTACGAGGAAACTCCCCCACCCGGGACCTGCATAAAGGCAATCAAATAGAAGACGACAAGACAGTCTGAAGAAAGACCCAAGACATTGTTGACTATTGACCAGATTGTTCTAAAATTCTAGCAGGATCTGCTTAGCGTATTGTCATTACAGAATCTGGCATGCTTAGCAAGTAAACCAATTTTTACGGGAGAAATTCCTGGAAATTGAATGTCCCCGGCAGTATAGTAAATTAAAAGATAGAAGTGTTATATATATATTCTTCCATGGAAATGCATGGTCCTAATTAATTAACACTATATTGTTCAACGTTTCCGTTGTTTTGTTATATAGTAGTTGTATTAATTTCATAATATAATCTGTAACGCGTAATGTTGACCAAGTAAATGATCAGACTACTAACTGCGCATATATGTGTGTGTGTGTGTGTAGGGCAATTAAGCACGAGCTCTATGTTATTGCCTTGAAAATGAACAAGTTTAACCATATGATCTTCTCTTTCTTTGCATTAACCTTTTTATTTATGCTGAAGAAAACAGCAGCAGAGGGAGTCCATGCAAAAGGCATCAATATTGGAGCTATTATCGATATGAGTTCACGTATTGGTAAAGAGCAGAGAGTTGCCATGGAAATTGCAATGGAGGATTTCTATGGCACCGGCAATCAGACCTTGGTTCTTCACATTAGAGATTCTCAAAGGGATCCTGTCTGTGCAGCTGTTGCAGGTATTTGTTTCGCTGGCGTATCTTAAATTCTTAATTAGTACTATAAGCTTACTTCACATCATTGCGATGGAGTAGACATGTTTTGCCTCATATTTAAATACGCAGCTAGCAGCAGGTAACTAATTGTTGCTAAATATATACTTTTAACAACAATCAATTTAGTGCTGATGAATTACAATTAAACTTGGCTACTTGTTCTGCTGAATTAGAGTGCAGCATTAATTTGTTCTTAAAAGATTTTTAATTCTATAAGCAATCTGAGTAAACAGCAATGGATCTCATCAACAATCAACAAGTACAAGCCATTTTAGGACCACAGACGTGGGAAGAGGCGTTATCAGTCGCTGAGATCAGTAGCCAAACTCAGGTTCCAATTCTTTCTTTGTCTGACACCACTCCCAAATGGGCAACAGAGCGATGGCCTTACCTGCTTCAAGCTTCACCTAGCAAGCAAGAGCAAATGAAAGCCATTGCAGCTATTGTGCAATCAGGGAATTGGCATCAGGTCACTGTAATATACGAAGGTACGGATTCAGCAGCTATTGCAGTCACACCATATCTCTTTAATGCCCTGAGAGATGCAGGAGTAGGAGTCATCCAAGGTCTAATCCTCCCTACTTTTGCTTCTGCCATTACGTTGTCTGAAGAGCTCGAAAAACTTAAAAGTGAGCAGAGCAGAGTCTTTGTTGTTCATTTGTCCTTCCCTTTGGCCGTGCGACTATTTGAAAAGGCAAAGAAAATGAAAATGATGGAAAAAGACTATGTATGGATCACTACAAATCCCGTTACAAGCCTTGTTCACTCCAATGCCTCTATTATCTCCTCGTCAATGCAGGGAATAATAGGGGTCAAGAGTTATTTCCCTGAAAGAGGGCACCTTTTTCATGAGATTCGTCAAAGATTTCGAAGGAAATTTAGCATAGAAAATCCTATAGATGACAACAATGAACCTGGAATTTATGCAGCAGAGGCCTATGATGCAGTTTGGACAATGGCTGTAGCGGTCAATGGAAGTAACCGAGTAGGTCAAGAGTTGTTAGAAACAATTTTGCAAGTGGACTTCCATGGTCTATCAGGAAACGTTCAATTCGTCAAATTCATCAACGAAAGAGCTCCAGCTAACAGATTTCATATCAATATAATTGGAAAGAGTTACAAGGAAATTGGGTTTTGGTCAAAAGGATTAGGCTTCTCTAAGACTATCCATGAAAATTCTATTTACAGCTCTTGTATGACTGTTTTGGAGCAAGCGCTTTGGCCAGAGGGGCCGTGGCATACTTCAAGAGGATGGACTCTTGCAACGAGTGCAAACCCATGGCGAATTGGTGTGCCTGGCGAATCAGGTTATAGAGAGTTTGTGCATGTGGAATATGATCACTGGGGAAATAGTGTTGCTTTTTCTGGATTTGCAATCGAGGTTTTCAAAGAAACTATAAGACGCTTGCCGTTCATTTTGCCATACGAGTTCATTGCATTCAAAAACACTTCTTATGATGAGCTAGTAAAACAAATCCTTCTCAAGGTAAGACGAAAAAGAACAACTTTTTGTCCATTCACTTTTTCTTTTGATTTCGTGACCATTTGGCACTGATGTGCTCTTTAAGAAGTCTAAGGTTACTTTCGGTTTTATTCTTAAACATTGACTAGATAATTTCTGGGAACGTAAATGCTCATAGTATCCATAATTTTGCTCACTTCTAATGATTATAATCTTCTATTAATGCCTGGAAAAAGTGGTTATGGTTTGACTTACAGAACATGGATGCCAACTGAGATATGTTTAAATTTGCTTTTGTTTTTGCTTTATTGGGAGGTCTAATAGTGTTTCGAACCTGAGACCTTCTAGTAAGCATCTCAATGGCTTGGTTTGGCTGTCCTCTCAAGGAAAGGTTATGTAGTTGATTGTACTTAATTTGAACTTAACTTGGATATGAATCTACATTTGTTCATGAAAAGATTTGTCCTAGAAAGCAAGAACACTAGCATAATTATTAGAAGGAAAAGTCCATGCATACAAAAAATCCAAACGTAAAAATCTTATTATCTCAAGTGATCATAAATGTTAGCAGAAGTATGATGCAGTAGTCGGTGAATTTCTCTAATTTTCAAAGGCTTGTGACTGATCGGGCTTGAACTTTCTATCCATGGTAGCAGAAGTATGATGCAGTAGTTGGTGATGTGGTAATATTGGCTAGCAGATACCAGCTCGCAGAATTCACAAAGCCTTACACGGAAACAGGATTGATGCTGATAGTCCCTGCTCAATCAGGCAATAGAGAATTGTCATTCATCAGACCCTTCACAAAATCCATGTGGGTTCTAATTGCAGTCATAACTGTCTACAATGGTTTTATAATTTGGTTGATAGAGCGAAATCATTGCCCTTCACTCAAGGGTTCTATGCTGCATCAAATAGGAATAATGCTTTGGTTAGCCTTCAACACTCTTTTCTCGTTACATGGTAAGATTCCTTTATCACCCGTTTCTTAATTTGTCTTCTCAGATCTAGAAACTATAGTAATTTCATGTTGATATATAATAGAACTAATAATATTTTGGTATAGGGGGGAAAATGCATAGCAATCTATCCAGGATGTCGATGGTAGTCTGGCTATTCGTGGCGCTAGTAATCACAGAGACTTACACAGCTAACCTTTCGAGTATGCTTACTGTCCAGAAGCTTGATGGTGCTGCTCCTAATGTTGAGGCCCTGCTAAATAGCAATGCAGTTGTTGGATATTGCACAGGCTCCTACCTGCAAAATTATTTGGTGGATGTTTTACGTTTCAAGACGCAAAACATCAGGAATTATACCACACTGGAAGCTTATGCTCAAGCATTCAAGAACAAAGAAATTGCTGCTGTCTTTCTTGAAGTTCCTCTGGCCAAATTATTCCTTGCAAAGTACTGCCGCCGCTTTGTCTCAGTAGGGCCAACGTACAAAGTCGGAGGGTTTGGATTTGTAAGATATCCCCTACTGATTCATTTTCCTTTCATTGTTTCCTGTGAAAAGAACAGGGATTGAAATGAACATTTGCAAAACTTAAATAGAACTGTATCACATGAAAATGCTGCATTTGGAATAAACTGTACTGGAGAGTATCAATTTTATACTGTCTAGAAACCACACTATACTGCAACCTAAGACGTTCGTCATATCACTTGTATTTCACACTTGCTGTTGCACTGTCCACTAATCATGGTCCTCTCTTTTCTGAACTTACATAGAACAGTGAGAAATGAAACTTTGCTCAACATATCATTTTAGATTAGTGGCATGGTGGGAAGATAGTGATTGTAGCCTTATTCCTGTCAGCCCTAATGACATTGTAGGTTCATATCAGTGTAATTAATTGAAGTTTCATGATTTGTGTCTCAGGCATTTCCTCGTGGATCTCCATTACTTCCTAGCATCGACGAAGCTCTACTGAAAGTATCTGAAAATGGAACTCTGCTGGAACTAGAGAACAGACTCATTAAGCCAGGAAATTGCCCAGATGTGGAAGATGAAAAGCATAGCCTTAGCCCCAGCAGCTTTGGGACACTCTTCATAATAACCACCGGCACATCAACAATCTCCCTCGCAATCTACATTTTCTCGAGAGGCAATCCCATGCTCGGATACACAACAATATGGAGACTTATGTTGGCTGCAATAAGATTTTGGGTCTGTCAAAGGCAGATCACTAGAAGATCAAGCAATGCTGAGAATTCTGTTAATAATTTGGCTCCGCAGGCATCTGGCATGCAATCTCTTGTATGATTTATATAAACCCAAAAGTTGGGGCTTAATCTACACGTCTCAATTATTCAAAATTGCTCCTATATTAGTAATTTGTTCAATAACACTCTGTATTTATAAAATTGGCTCAATTGGATATGATATGAACTAACAATTTTCTCATAAGAAGAAAATTGGACTCACATACTAATTGAATGAATTTAGTTGTACAACTCATATATAGATCCAAAAGTGCTGTTCTTTATTGACATGGAGAATATTTAAATGATGAAGAGCATCCTCTACACATCTGATGAAGACTACTCATTGGCCACTACTCCATTGGATTGATCATCAATTATCATAGCCATGTTTTTTTAATTTAATTTTTTGACATTGTAACTACTCTATGATTAGTCTAACAAATTAGTCCCGAGGGACTAATTTAATCAATATTATTAGTCAATATGTTGATATGATAGATATTCAATATGTTGATTGATCATTAATTATTTAATCAATATGGTATTTGTCATTTTTTTTCCCAACAAAAAAAATAATAATTAGAGATTTAATTTGAAGCTAAGACAAATTGTAAACTCGCAAATCAAGCGAAGTGAACTTTAATAGGTTAAGAGAAAGAAAGAAAAAAGATAATGGCCAGAACTATCAACTAGGTAAAAATGCTAAGTAAATAAAGAAAAATAAAAAAAAATTACAAGAAAATGATAAAAGAAAGTTTGTAAATTGCATAAAACTTGTGAATAAGTTTTATATATGGGCCAACTATTTTTTCAACTACTAAATAACTTATTTATAATTTATGTTATTTATTTATAATTTACAACAATAAAATTTCACATGAATTTAAAATTTTAATTCATTATAAATTATCCATGACAAATAAAGACTATACAATCTTAATTCTAATATAATTAGTACTTTTTACTTCATGTGTATCTTTTCTTGCTAGCTATATGTGCTCTTGTTATACGTGTTGTAATACTAGTTTATATGGTGAGTGTTTTTGTTTTGTATAAGACTTAATTATTGACTGCTATTATGAATTTAATAATGAACAATTATTGTTTTTTTTAATGAAATGACGCATGGAGCCATAAATTTTTTATATAAATACTAGTTGAATTTTAAACAAAATCTCTTAAATTGTTTAAGAGACCATGATAGTATAGTAGTTTAATTACGTATTGTTTACGTCCATATTGTTTTTTCAATTAAGTTCTTTATTGATAAAATTTGAAATTAATTATATGATATTTCTTTTAAAAAAATCAACATAAATTAAAAAATTAAATTGAATATACATGGAAATTATAAAATGTTCTATATCCACGTATTCTATATTAAAAAATTTATTTCAACCAATACATGTATCAATTGGCATATACATATATTTGGATGAGAGGTGCAATACAAAATGTGTTTTGAGTTGAGAAGGAAATATTTCATATTGTTAGATAAGTCTTAGATCATGAAACACCTATTTAATTCAAGGATTTTTCACGGGTATGGGATTCATTATCATTTATTTCATTTTAATTATTACAAGATTAATGATATGAATAAAAAGAATTGTATGCCAAATAACTAAGTTAATTAGAATACACAAACATACAATCCCGTGTTTGAAATGATTTCAACTTCAATGGGAGGTAATTAAAATTGTTCATGAGATTAATTAAAAAGGGATAAATTTATGTAATTCGAAAATCAATAAATTATGAAATAATAAAAAATAAACAAAATATGACACCAGACCATTCTTACAGCTAAATTCTTAATTGATATTCAATTTAAAATGTTTTACATTAAATAGTCAAGCTTGGAAAAACGTAACTGGATATATGCTAGAGTCGTGATTCTCTTTTCTGAAGAACTTGAAGCGTTTCAAGACTCGATGCGTGCAGATTCAGTCTTGTACACCGACACGTATTTCCAAGGACTATGCATGTGCTGAAGCATTAATTTCCAAGAACTCGGCTTGCGAAGGAATCTGGCGAGTACTTGCGAGGAAATTATCGAAGCGTTTTTTCTTAGCTGACAAATGAGCTTCTTCAACCATGTATTTTGTCTTACATGCATGGCAACCAGCCCCACACAGAAAAATCCTCGACTATACATGTATTTTGTCTTACATCCTATCGGCCTTCCCACTTGCACTGTGCTTTTGAATTTGAGTATCGGACCTCGTAATCGTGACAAATATATATTTGCGCAATAAAAATGTTTCCACATTATCGAGCCCCGAAAATCCCTGTGCACTTTCCATTTGGATATCAACGATCAGCGGCAATGAAATTAATTTGCATCTTCCTCTATATATAACCCAATATTCAAGGAATAATTTTCTGATAAATTTAGAAAGAGTAAAAAACCATTGACAGCCTATGAATCGAGAAAGTTGGACCTACAATCGGTACATGCATAATAAATCTCAAAGCCGCCATTGGACCTTTGACATGTATGTGATTCCATGGCAGGCATTACAAGTTTTACTTCTTGTTGTCTCATATGTAGAAGTAGCAGTCGTAGATTGTCCCCTCAGACATAGGATCTTGGCTCTTTTATTCATAGAAATAACTTGGATGGTTTCCTTCCTTGTATGTATATGGAAGAGAGGAAAGGAGTAAAAATGGAGAAATTTTTCTTATCTTGACTGGGGATGAGAATAAAAGAGAAGAAATGGAAAATATTAGGGTTAACAACAAAATACCTTTAGTAATTGCATCATTCAGTTATCTCTTAAAAGTAATCTAATTAACTATATACTTCTGTCCTCTCTTTCCTTCAAATCAGTTGATATATTTTTTTAAATTCCCTCCTATAACTACAGAATTTAAAGACATATTAAATTTATAATTTAAATGGAGATATAAACAAAATTATAGTAAAAAAAAATTCATGAAACCCAAAAATTTCAACTTTTTAGTTTTTTGATTTTGAATTTATATGAAATTTAATTTTTCTTTTATTTTAGTTTCCATAACTTCTATTTTAATTTTAATTTTAAATAAGATTTTACTTTCGCTAAAAAAAGCAATTTAATTTGAAAGTCTTCCTTTTCTTCATTAAATATTAAATATTAAACTTGATTAATGAAAATTTTTGGAGTTGCTACATGTATTATTAATGGATTTTGTTAATAGAATTGGATGAAGAGTGTAAGAAAGGATAGGATTGAAACTCTTACATAAGTTCAATGTAAAATCGATGTTTGTGATCGATGGAGTATTATTTTAACTAACCCAAAATAGTAATAAAAATGCTGCTTCAATATCCTCATTTAATCAACAATAAAATCAAACACCCTATATAATTTTTAAAACAAAACTTTTTCTTACTTTTTTTTAAAGCACTTTTTTTCACCATCCAAATAAACAAAAATTACTTTTTCCACATTTATCCTTTTTTTTCCTCATATTTTCTTTTCTCCAACAAATTGTGAGATTAAAAACTATTCCTATAATATTGATGATTCTCCATAATCCTGAATAATAGAGAAAATATATTTCGCGGCACTTGGATGATTGATGATCACGTGTTCATGTTCATTTTCTATTCTTTATATATTAGGTTTCTAGCTAGGGGTTGATGGTACAGATTGGATTTTTGACAAAACAATCCCTTTGTGGATTTTTTAGGACCTAAGATGATTAATTAGTGACTTTTATAAAGAATTATAGTAAATGTAAACTTAATTCTAATAATAAGAGTATTTGTTCTTAGGATGTGATAAATGTTGAGAATTAATTATAGAAGAGTAAAAGATCATAAACCATTTTTTTAAATTGTTCAAGGCTTATTTATAACCTTTTTCCTTTTCTTTTCAAGGGATTGTAACTCTTTTCTTTCTTCATCTAAGTAGGAGGAAGAGCTTACAATCAACATTAATATTGATTGTAAGTGTCTCTTTACATGACATTAATGTTGAAAATGTCACGTGTCCATGTACACAATATTAATATTGAAATCAATAGTCATTGATTTGATGTATGGATGGTCTTCAGAGGATATTTTGGCTGGCTAGGGAGTATGAAGATAATGACTCTAGATTTTCACTTTGGGTGCTTATATCTGAAGAAAAGACCTGGGCCCAAAAAATCATTAGGTGTAGTAAAATGCCAAACCCATAAGTGGTTAGGCCTAAGCAGGTAACCAAGATCAAATGAGTTAGATCTAGTAAAATACTGAACCCATCGATGCTTGGGTCTAGCAAGATACCAGACCCCTAGATGCTTGAGCCTAGTATGTAGCTAAGTCTAAATAAATTGAGTTTAGGGAGATGCCAAATCTATATGCATTTGAAGTAGTCGAGCTCAAGAAAGTTACGTATAGTAAGATGCGAGACCCATAACTGTTTGAACATGTAGTCTAGGCTGAAAAAAGTGAGGGTGTTATCATTGCTGGACCTTTTTAATGGGCCTTGACCTTTGATGAGCTTCTCATTTCTCTTTATCCCTTTGTTTAGCTTTTATGAAAAAGCTTTCAGTATAAAATACATTAATTCATCGAATATATTCTCACATGTAATGATAGGAAACTTGTTAAAATAAAAGAATTCATAAAAAAAAAATATAATAGTAATATTAATAATAGCTCCCTTTATAAATCTCACTTCCTAAAAGAATATTATTTTAATTAAAATTTAACTATTCTTATAAAAAAATCATTAAAAAAAATTTAAGGATGGTCTTTTAACCGTTCCCAAAATATAGTAATTTTATTCTCTAATTATTAACTACTTAATCAATTAATGAAAAAATAGTAAAAATATTAAGTAAATGAATGAATAATACGTGTGTGAAGCTCCTAATAAAACACTAGTATAATTGGTCATTGCATAACTAATATTGAATTTTCTTTATTTAAAACATGAAAAAACTTGAAATTATGGGTCAATCCTAACTTATTAAATGGGTGGGTAATTATATATTGACTTGAATCTAAGCATAACAAAAATTTAAAACAACTTAAGGTAGTATTTCACATAGCGGTCAACTGTCATGTTAATTACTTAATACCAAACATCAAATAATATTAAGTAATTAGCATTATAGAAAATAGCTTCAAATTAATTTTATATTTTTATATTTTTAAATCATCTCAATGTGTTGATATTAAAAATAA